TGCCCCTCTTACGCCGCCTCCCTCTCTTTTTTTTTTTTTTTTTTTTCGGTCTAGTAATTAGATTTTTTTACTTCTTACGAGCAGACTCCGCCATGCAAGCAAGCAAGCACGTTCATGCTCCCATGCTTGCCATGCCGCACGCCACGCAAAACGGATCAATTGATAGGCTTTCCCCCGCCCCTCTCCAGACGTGGCGCACACCAAGCAAACAGCACCCTTGGCCAATCCGTCAAGCCGCTTTTGCTCGAGGGTCCCCTTCATGTGCCGCCGCGGCCGCGGAGGCGGCGCCAGGCTGCTGCGGGTAGGGACGGAGGCTGCACACACACGCGGGATTTTTTTTGGATTTTTTTTTCTTTAAAAAAAAAAAAATTCAATCAAGGCAGCAGCCCCATACCATTTTGTCTGCGAATGCTGCTGGTACCGTGTATTGTACGCGCGTGTCGCATGCTCCTTTTGCGCTTGGGTCGGACAAGGTGCATGTATGTGTCCGGCCCGCATTGATGGTTCTGTGGTCGGAAGGGCTTGGGAAGTCGCCTACTAGGCAGTCACAGGCTACTTAAGTAGGCAGTTGCTTGGTTCCCAGTGTTGTCAAGTCCTCACAGCCGAGAGCTCGCACCCCTCACTCCTCACTTCTTGCTCGGTGCTCAGACAGCAAATGCAAGCTTTTGTTAGCCGTCGAGTCCTCTGCCGGTTGCATTGGTCGCATCAGCTGCACCAAGCTGCACAGGTTGCCACCCCTCCCTTTCGCGCCTTCTCCCTTCCTAGGGCTTCACACGTTGCCTTTGGCGTTGGCGCGGGCATCGGCGCTGCTTACTTTATTCTTAGAAATCGATTCTGAGCGACACCGACGGACCCTCCCGGCCGTCAAAATCCAAACTGGGGCCATGGGGCTCATGGCTTCTGCTCTCGCTCTCGCTCATCGCTCTCACTCTGGTCTAGCCGAGTGCACAAAACACTTCGAGCCATGGATGGTCTTCTTGCGCCATCACCCGTGAGAATGTACCCCCGGTGCTCTCAAGTGTATTTTGATTATCAATCATCATGTCTTTTTGATGTCTTCTACCTCGTCTTGTCCTGTTGCTCATCTCTGTCGCCGTATCCAGAAGCAAGGAGAAACTGAAATATTCAAATCCTTTAACTGTATAGACAGGTCTAATAGTAGCCGTCGTCTCCGTCAGACGTCTTGCCGCCTCGCAGTGTGCAAATCCGCTCTCTGGTGCTCCACTTCCGTCTACTTCCCTGCTCTTCTTCCCGCGAGGGCAAGCGATTTTCTGAACACCAGGGGGTAGGGGGGGTGTGCGTGTTGTCCTCGTGTCAATCCCGAGGGGGGGTGGAAACCCATGCAGAAAGAAAACATTGTACGTGAAAAATATCAACATGAGTAAATAAGGGGAAATGCAATCAAAATGTGGATGAATGTGTAAACAGGGTGAGTGAATGTGACCCCAAGGGGCCAAACTCGTACTTGATTAACATTGTCATCATATGTCCATGAGTAAGGGAAACCTTTCGGGGCTTGCATATAAACTTGGGAGCAATACCAGCCACTAGCGTCTAGTCATTATTTCTCAATGCCTCATCATGACATGCAAGGAGGTAACAAATAGACTTTGTCAACCAGAACGAATAAAAAACAAAAAATGGTTCAAGATGCTGAAACAGCTCGAGGCGGCGTAAAAGCATGTCGTCTCTCTTCATGTCGGCTTTCGAAGATAATCGCGACGCCATCACCAAGACCAACAAATCATAGCAGAAGCAATTGTAAATGTCGTCAAAATAACCTAGCGCCCCAGAATATGCCTCTTTTTTTGATTCATACGCCATTCGCCGATTCAGGTGATGTCGTTCGTTCGTTGCTGGGATGTTGCATCATCAAGTACAAAAACGTGATAGAAACACCTAACCGTCAGTCGCTGAAAATTAATCACATTCCCCCCCTCTCTCTCTCCGGCGGTTCGTGTCCTTCATAACAGAGTCTTTAATAGATTGTGCTTTTTTGAAATTTTTGCGTTTTAGTTTTCATCATGCCATTGGAGCCCGTCGTCGAGGGAAAGGGCAGTCGGTGGTATGTAGCTTCCATTCGAGACACAAGCACGGCCGCAGCAAAGAATTGCCTAACCCCTCACCAACCAACACCCCTCTCAGATGCTTCGTCCCACAAGGCCGGTGATGGCGAGGAAGCATTTGCGCTCATAATACAATACACTTTTTGCTCTTTTCGCCGTCCTTGCTGCGCCGGTATCTTGGTGCCTCGCGCTCGCGGCCCCCAATATCACCATTACCTGTACGTGAGCGGCCGCTCGAGCCACCCGCCGGGCGAGACGCTTGTTGCCGCTGTCGACGCAAGATTCTGACGACATCGTAGAAGGCCTTTTCAACGTTGATGCAGTTCTTTGCAGATGCTTCAACAAATTCGCACCCCAATTCTCTGGCTAGTGCGTGCCCTTCTTGTGTAGATACCTCGCGCTCCGTAACTCTGTCGCTCTTGTTGCCCACTAGCATGATGGGCACTGGCATCTGGGGATTCGCGGCGGAGAGGGGCGACCCCGGGTATGACGGTGAAGATGCACATGATTCTTTGACGCGTTGGATTTGGTGGTGAAACTTTTTGATGCGGGTAAATGAGGAGCGGGATGAGATGCTGTAGACGAGTACGAAACCTTCGCCATCACGAATCCATTGGTCGCGCAAGGCTGTGTATTCTTCCTGCCCAGCGGTATCGAGGACTTCGAGCATGCAGGGTTGACCGTCTATGACAACCTGTTTGCGATACGAATCTTCAATCGTCGGGTCGTACTGTAACGAGGCTGCATCAGCTTGCGAGGCTCAGAATAGAGGATTAGCTTCCCCGCCTCCACCTTTGAACGGTGAAGGTCGCAGGGACATTGGAGGGCTACAGACTCACGGTTTCAACAAAGTGTTGCAGACATAGTTGAATTGTCAGTGCTGTCTTTCCTACGCCACCATCACCCAACACCACCAGCTTGTATAGCACCATACGGCCCGCCATGCTGGGCAAGAATTCGAGCTGTGCGCCGACAAGTGGCTAGTCGAGGAGAGAGGTATGGGGGAGACTATACACTCGTCCTTGACAGGACAAGCCGTCGATCAGGAGGGAAAGGAGGTGGTCGGCGAAGCACAGCTCGGAATTGTAACGGGAGCCTGGGACGAGAGAGCAGCGTTGTGATTGTGCGGCCGACGTCAATGGGGAAGAACAGAAGGATGGTCAGGACAAAGATGTTTGCTCCAGCCTCAGCACAAGACTCTCGAAAGATGTTACTGAGGCGTTCTGGCTTGCAGTGGGAGCTGCTGGACTCGGGTGGGCAGAGGGTCGAGTGGAGTCGGTGGGTGAGCGGGTCATGCTGCTTTGTATGGAGTAGAGGCGCAACGACAGAGCCCACTGTCTGAGCCAGTTAGGATGGTTGGTGCCCGGTACAGAGCAGCAGTGGACGCTGATAGGAGACCATCGGCCGCGGATGGACTGGGTGCTTAAGTGGCCGCCGAGATAGATTGATAGGTTCGCAGCTAGTAGGATGCACATGGACCACACGAGTGCACGGCCAGTTGCTGTAGGAGAAGCTCAGCTTGCCGGGGATGGTCCAGGGCCGTCCAGGGCCGATCTCATAATACAATAAATACAGCATACATGTAGCTGGCCGAGCTTGTTGGTAGGGACGAAGCACCAAGAGCAGGCAGAGCTCGAAGGTTAGATGGGTGGATGATTGGCCGACTGACAAGCTGTTGAAGTTTACATTGGAAATATTATGGGCCGCAGGCGATTCCAGTACCAGCAACCCATGACTAGACTACTCCATATGATCCGTATAACCCTTAAGGGACAAAGGCACCACTAATGTCTGGTTTTGGCCGGTACACAAAAAGAGCTATGCCACCATGATGCTCAAGCTCGCCTGTTCGTCGGAGGTGAAAGCAACAGGCGAATGGCTCGCTGCCTCCTCGACTATCCAGTGGAGCAGCTTGACCTCTTGCGGTCTCTTTGTCGCTTCTTAAGCTGACCCGGCAGGTTCAATCTTGGCTGGGCTGGAGCTCAAGGGGTCTAGAGCGTGTCGCCCCTTTGGAAGACTTAACGGGGCAGATACAATCGCAATGCAAATATTAGCGCAGATGTGGTGATGGCCTTTGTTCCTTTTGTTGCGTGTTGACAAGGACAAGTCCTCCAATGATTGATGGTGCAATACTCCATCCCCTCTGGTGTGTCAAGGCTCCAGTAAGGTTACGAGCCCCGCAATGCCCATGCTGACTGATAGCGGATAACGTTAGGGCTGTATTATGTTAGATGTAGCGATTTGTAGGACATTATTACATCAATACTCTTATTACCACTTGATTCACTAGTCAATAAATGTACCTTTTTAATTTAGCTTCTTATTGGATACAGGTGGCCCCTTTGGCGGCATTGGCAGTGACTGAGGCAACTCGAATGCCGCGATGCTGTGCTAACTATGGTTAACCCAGCCGGGCTGTTTTGAGGAACAATACATAACCAGAGTGTGGGAAATACAATAACAACAAATAAGAGGCCCGTTGTCATATTTGGAATAACTCCGCTAGAAGTGTTTTTACTCCGTACCGTATTATGTACATTTCATCCGTCTTATCATCGATATGTCACTCCGGGCTCCTTAATCCAACCAGCAGACAGGGGCAATCGGCAATCAATGTTGGTTGGAAAGGTCATATTGCGACGGCGACGAAACAACACGGGGCTTGCCATTCTTCGAGGCAACGTGTGCCAGGTACCAAACTGTTGGGATGGCCAATCGGTGCCGGATTGGGTTTTCATCATCATCGCAGATGGTACTCGATGCAAACGCTATTTGGGCCAGAATACCTAGTATGTGTACAGAGTGCCTCTTTGTCGATCTGCGTGGTAGTCGACCTCCCTGTCAGAGTGGTAGTCTGGTTGGGTGGCTAAAGAGCATCGTCCAACCCTACAACTCACGTACCCTGGCTCTGCCTGGGAGTAAGGAGCCTCATGGATTTGGGTGGCCCAAGCAAGCACCCCGGCGGGTCTTTGGCTTTGGTGTGATTCTGAGCATCCACTAACCCCCAGCTGCATCGATGGTACGGAGTAGTTATATGTCCATTGTGGTGGTTGGCGAGCGTGAGCTCTGTTGCGCCCTGGTGACCAATGGCATCGTGAGGAAGAGCAGGCAGAAAGGCGAGAAAGACCCGGAGGGAGTAACGGGAGCCAAGGAAAGCCAAGGTAAACAAGCATGCAATTACAGCGGCAAAAACAAAGACATTCGATCTTAGTTCCCAATTTTGCGGCTTCAAAAAGAAAACAATTCAGCCAACTTCTGGATAAAAAATCTGCGGCCCCCCCCCTCCCAAAAAAAAAAAAAAAAAAAAAAAAAAAAAAAAGCCACCAACAGTGCATTCATCGACAAAGAAGGGAAGGAGCGTTTAGAGCAATACTGCACGCTGCCTGCCTCGTGCATGTTTTGTGGTCCTGGCGCTTGTCAAAGCCACTCGAAGCATTGTCTCTTGTCTGGTCCCAACATTGAAAGCCTCGACGAACCCTCGACAAGCCCACGAGTTATCGACTTCACCACCCCGGTTCTCACATCTCAGTCGACTCGACCAACTTCTATTTCTACCTCTGCGTTTGGACCTCCGGGTTCCGGGCCTCTGCTCCTGTGACCACACGTCTTTGCCATACGGCTGTTTTTCCGGCCGCTGGCTTGGCCACTCACCTGTTTATCTTGCCTCGTCATTTCGCTCATCCATGCCGCTTGGCATTTATCATTGGCATCGAATATACTACATGTACTCCGTAACGGTTCATATCATTGCCCCCTCTAGCATTTTCATTCGCCGGTCTCGTAAGGTTCTAGATTTGCCACTTGAACATAGCTAGGTCCCGGGCGCTACACAACAGCAAGACATCAGACCGGCCGCAGCGGAGAGCCGCCAAACAAGAAAAGATTACCATCGATATCTTCCGAGGCAGAACCGTCCCGACCGCAACGAATGGGTGGTTCCCTCCCTGCGGAGACCTGATTCATTTACAGCAGGGCCGTGCCGTCCATCCGCAACTCATCCAACGATGGGTTGGTTGATGGCTCGATGGAGAGCTGGGCGTTTCTGTCAACGATTAGGATCTGGCCTGGAGCAATACCGTACCCCACATATCCTCCTCGTATCATTTTGCTACTGCTGTTCGCCTGCCAATAGTTGAATTTCATCGTACTCCACTGCCACCACATGTTCAGCTGGGTGGTTACTCTCTCTGTCTCTGCTTTTCCGTCTGTTGACTTCTCTCAACGCATGTCTTAATTGTTCTGGTACGTAATCCAATATTGTCCGTCCATCTACAGCTTTTTGTGCATACGAGGTGGTGCAAAATGCTCCAGGCAGCCTCTACACCCCATGATGTATCGTCTGTGGCACGGCTTACAGACAGGCTCGCCACCCGGGGTATGCTACTATGGGACTAGACAAACTGCTCCAAAATAGTAACGAGACTGGCCTCTCACTCTGCTCGCCTCACTTGCAATTGGAAACACACGAATAGAAGCCAGGCTATTACAAGGCGTCGCACATTCGAAACACCGCGAGGGCCTATCTCATAGCATATCACAAGCAGCTTCCATTGGTTGCTTCGTATTGACGAACTGCTCTATGGACAAGATATGACGAGTTGCCTTGATGTGCCAGAGTATTTTGAATCTGCAGCCTGCACGAAGTCTCGTCACCTCAACGACGGGACATTTCAATACGTCGCGTCTTATTCCTTGTTTCTCTGAGGCAGGTTCGTTTTTGATGATATCCTGCTCCAGTACCAGTGCCATCCCCTGCTAGCGCCATTGAAAAACTCTCTTGAAGCAGTTGCCAAGAGAGAGGCCTCTCCTTTGTCTGCTCAGTGGCCGAAGAGTATGCAAAAGCGAGCAAAATGAAGAGCCAATGCCGCACATCCATGTTTTGCGTCTCGGTGTAGACTTTCTGTACCCAGGTATGCTTGCGATATCGCGGGTGGACGGCCCACCGAGATTCTCATATGTCGTGCTACTTAAACACAAGTTCTGACATATCCCGGCCTGCATCTAAACAACAACAACAACAACAACAACAACAACAACAAAAACATTTTCGTGCCGTTTTCCTAATCAGAATTGTGACATCGATTACCTTATAAAATACCGTATGCATTAGCAAAGTCGGTCACCCAAGGGGCTAAAGGGTTCATGGACCTTGGCTTCGCATTGTCAGACTTGAAGTTGAGTTTACAGCAGTGTGCTCCGTACGACTTTTTGAGTTTTACGAGAGCTGGGAATCAAGTTGTTTGGGGCAATGTATCAATTTAATTGATTAGTCAATGTATAACACTATGTATACTTGGAGAGCTCTCATGTATATACCTCGGGCAAGGGTCCATCCACAACAACTGGAGAGAAACTGCAATCAGTCAGAAAACATAAATGTCGAAGCTAGCAACATGTAGTAGGGATATGGCTGAGTGAGGTTCTCCGGCCTCCATTGTAAAACTACGCCGAGAACTGTTGAACTTGGAGATTTACTGATATCTCGTTGCACTTCAACCACCGCTGCCTTGTAGCCCTTTCTCGCGCAAAAAATACACCACAGTTATCATTCCTACAAGATATCCAGGAGCTTGTCTGCCATAGTAACAAACCCACCTTCCTCCTCCCCAATCCACAAATCCACCCAATTCCTAGCCGCTACGAATTCCTCGCCGTCCTTATCCCAGGCCTCTTCCCTAGGTCTCTCAACGTATATCGTCCTCAGACCACACGCCTTGGCAGCCTCCAAGTCGCCCATGTGGCAAGCAACCATGGCCACCTGCCCCGGCTCCAGGCCCATGTCCCTCGCCGCGCCGAGATACGTCTCCGGGCGAGGCTTGTACGCCCGAAACGTCTCGGCGCAAAACAGCCGGTGGAACCCCAGGCCTCCGAAGTCATTCAAATCCCTCACCAGGTCCATGTTGCCGTTCGACAGCGTTGCCAGCACGAGCTTCCCGCTGTCGCGCAACTTGGCTAGCCCGTCCACGGTGTCGGGCCAGGGAGCAAGGCGGTGCCACACCAGGCTGAGCGAGTCTACTTCGGCGTCCGTGTACAGGCCCTCGAGACCCCACGTCCCGAGCAGTTGGACGAGGCTGTCGCGGTGGTGCTCGTCGATGGTCTTCCACACGTCTTGCCCGGGGTTGAAGGACCTCACGAAGTGGACATATGTGTCGCGCCAGGCCTGGGCGAAGCGCGCCCAGTCGTCTTGGTCTAGACTGTCCAGGCGGTCCTTGAGGGCGGGTGACGGGTTGGAAGAGCGCTTGCGATACGCGCGGAGCGTCAGCTCTTCTGTGACTGAGGAGCGCCAGTCTACGGTTGTGCCGAAGACGTCGAATGCAAGCGCCTTGACGGATGAGAGGGGTGGCACTGTGGCGGGGCACATTGCGAATTCTCGTGCTTCGTGTGCGGTGTATCTGTCGTGTGCTTTGCTTGCATGCCCGTGTAGTTTGCGGGCTGTCGTTTTCGCTGTTGGCGTGAATCGGCGGCCATGTGGCTGGATGCAGAGGTGCCTGCGGGATGGGTGTGTCGTGATGTACGCCTCCCCGCCGAGGTTGGCACTTGCACCGGTCAGATCGGAAACGTAGATCACATGATGAGCAGTCGATGGCGCGCCGTAAACCACATCATCTACTCTTTGGTGTTTATTCATCGAGGTGTAAAACGCCACGGCTGGGATCACACGACGTCGAGATTTGAGATGCTCTGGTTACAAGTTCCATGTCGGGATTGGAGTGACCATCTGATGTAGGGTAGCGCCATCTCAGAACTTGCTCGCGCGGCCGGCCGTCTTGTCTCCGGGAAATCCTTGGCTTGAACCAATGCCAGGCATCGTGTTCGTCTGAAGTAGCGTCGTAGGAGGCGAGGCTGGGAACTGTAGCAGTTGTTAGTGCCTGGTTAGCATCCTACCTGTGAGCATGCCGTCCGAGGCACCACGACACACCCGGAGAATGCATCACTTGCCACACACTGGTACGAAAGCAGCAAGGCTCAGTTTACGACGAATAATACCTACTACTACTATCGACGGCCTCCAACGCAAGTTGCCAAGTCTTGAGAAAGAGAATGTCTGGTGCGGCGGTGCAGGAAACATGCCGTGAAATCGAGGTCAAAATGGGAACGGAATCATAAGGATAGTATAACCCAGACGAGACAATCAAGATTGCTCAATTAAAGCCCTGTGGCACGAGATTATTGGACCGGACTTATTTGTAGTATGGAGAGCTATATCTTGATATTTGCATTTCCAGCAACGCACGACTCGAACAGATGCAGGCATGCACAAACGGAGAGCAATAGAACCCAATTCCTTGAGCCATGAACTCGATTTCATACTTCATCTCTCATGCCCATCCCTTTACGGAGTACCGAAGCTTCCTTTCTATGCGCAAACGCGAACATCTCTCCAGCTCTAAACACTAGCCTCGCCGCCTCTCTCCTTGTTTACCCTTACAACCCCCCACCCCTATCCTCAGATCTCATCGATCGATGGGTAAATCCGTGCTCCACAGGTCCTGCGAGTAGGCACCCTCGCTGGTGCGGTATGATTCAGGGAGAGCAGAGACACTGGTTGACTGTGATATTATCCGGGAGATCTTGCTTGGGGCCTCGTGATGACTTGCTTTTTGGATGTGTGGTTTGCATATGTAGGGTTGATGATGTCTTCAACGCAAGGGGGAACATCTGTCTTGGTGATGTTCCGGCTCTACGAAAGGAGAATTTGCTACCGATTCTACCGTGTAGGCGTCTTTCATTGACGCATCACGGATGACAGGTGCGATTACTTGCATTGCGAGATCTTCTGCGTAATACGTAGTATGATACGCAGCAACTAACATGTTATTCCATATTCCTATTGTGGCTACCGTTAGCATTGATTCACTTCGAGTTGGCCGGCGAGGTGCTGTCAGGCTGGCTTTGGGCAATCCGGATTCGGCTATTCACAAAGCCGACGACGACAATGTGAACAAAAATGTGGAACTTGAAACTTGCCGCGCTCGGATCTAGCAATTTCGTTTTGCATGAATGCATGAATACCACTTCATAGTCATCTTGATAAAACATGGGCTGCGTGTGCAATAGTAGCTCCATCCCATCGTCTGAAGGAAGACCCTCTACTTCCCTGTATCTCAACACGGCAATTAGACACGTCAATCACAAGCCTGCCGATGACGGTGTTGTCATGGCGTCTTAAAGTGCACCTAATAAGCTCATCTCTGAAACAAGAGACGATATTGCGCCTTTTCCGGGGCCGATACTGGATGGCAGCTGACACTAATACCGAGTCAAGCGATAAGTGTGAGGTGATTTATTCCCTGCAGGAACCCCCTCATAATACGGCAGTTGTGAAACACCCTTCTTGTCTTGATACCCATGTCTGCTGAGCAAAAGCATGCAGTGAGAGGGGATGAGCCCTGTTGAAGAGCCTGGTCATGGAATGGCCCCCCTAGCCTCAACCTGCAGTCGCAAGGGGGTTAATGTACTACATATGTATCTCATAAATGAGGTTTTGACCACTTTTTGGAGGAGATACAATATGCGTGGCAGTTGTTACGTGGCGCAATACTATGTAAGAAGTTAATTATCTTACAATGAAACGCCACATGACTTGTACTTCACACTGGTTCATTGACTCTTCTCACAAGAACAGACGGATATTGTTGGGCAAGGTTACGAGTTGCTTGTCTGTATGTATGTGCTGCCGGTTCTGAAATGATGATGAGCGCCTTGGAATGTGTGGCATGACTTCAACAACACCACGCCATGTGGAGAGAGGGATCAACGCCACAGGAAAAAGACATGTCGGAACCCGATAGTACCCCATCTTGGTGTTGGTCAAAGGTGAGTGCGCACGTTGCCATCCATCCGTACTCCGTAGTACAGAGCAAAAGTTGTAGAGCACTTCATGACCAGTGGCGTCTGGGGAAAATTTTCTCCTCTCTTACTTGCTTTTTCCTTCTCTTAGCCAGCGCTGTGTAACCATCTTTGTAAAGGCGGAGCGGCTCGACGGCTCGTGGACGGCCCGGGGATGGGGAACCCGTTGATGGAGCGTTCATTGCGAGACTTTTGACTATTGGCCGAGGTTTTGGAGCAAGAAAAAGCCCCAAGCCCCAAGTTCCACTCGCGGAAAACATGACCGGTCGCTCGTGTAACAATGTAGACATTTGTCAACATTGGACATGAACATGAAGAGATGAATTGCGAATCAAAAACCCGAAACCGAACGGATAGAGTGATGTTCTCGTCCCGAACCAAGTGAGTTGAGTTCGTGTCTGCTGTAGATAATCGAGCCTTCATGTAAAGCCTGGCTGGAAACACATGAAGCTGTGCAGCGTCTTGTCCGTGACTGGCTGGATTTGCAATAACCCGCGTGAAGTTGCCGCCCACTCTGGATTGGCCGTCTGAAGTTAGTACGGAGTAGTTATTAAGGTTTTTCATGTTCCCATTTATTATGCCAAATAATGCTTGTCGCCAACCCGGCTTAACAGCTGTACTAAAGGCGTTTGCGACTTGTCTGCACCTTGTTTCTGTGGGCATTTCTCTTGGTGGCTTGCATTAGCACCTAGCTTTGACCTCCTTTTTGGCGCAAAGTTGTGCATGAAGATTGAATTTGGCAAATAAACGGAGTGACGAATGACCAATAATTCGAGCAAGCGATGTAGGAATACATTTGCAAAATGTTACGGGCACGAGGTCTTTCGTTCTTCCCGAGAACGAAGATCACCCCTGACCAGGGGCTTTAATATCCTGTCTTCGAGAATGAGCGATTGGCGATTTTCACGGCCAACAGTCTCTGACCAAAGGAAAGAAATTACTGTTGGTCCGGCACCTGCCATAGTGTTCCCAAAAGTACGAACCCAGGACGTGTACGGAGTACCCAGACGAGGAACCTCCTTGTAATTTCCACACAACATCGGCTTGAAACAAAGTGCAATTGTACGAGAAGAATAGCCCGTGGATCTTGGGAGGAAACGCAACCTTGATCTTATGCTGTTACGGAGTATATCGACCGAAATTCGAAGTTTCCCTCATCCTGCTTCGAGCGACCACAATTATGTACCGGGCACGCATGCAGCAGTTGGGCCTTCAGCTGAAATTGATGGCGTTTGTAGTAAGATTCGGGGCAAGGACATGCGTTCTCAGAAATGACAACAACGATTGTGCCAAACTCTACGGAGTACTCCGTAGTATTATGACAGAGGCGTTGCTGCCATAATGCCTGCTTCCGCATGGCGTAATATGTTTACTCTGCGTGCATGCACGCCGTCCTCCGTATGCTGATACAATATTGTATGTACGTTTTGCAGCGGCATCATGAGTACCGAGAACACGGGTCACATGGCGATCATGGCTCATTAGACACAAAAAGCTCCTTGGTGTACTCCGTACGGCGTACAGTATTAGCTGATGCTCCATTGACCCCGGTAGCGAGGTTGCCAGGTCCGAAGTCACGATATTGGGCGGGCGTTGAGAGGCATCTCCAGGGGACCCGTGGTCTAGCTTGGTGATAAACTCGCATGAGATGTGAGCATGTATTGCTGTTGTGCGTCGTCAAGTTGCATTTCGCCTCTTGCTCTGGGGCCTGAAAAAGGCTAACCTGGGAGAGGAAGGCGACTTCCCTTATTCGCAGTGATACCATATTGGTCAATGATTGTGAATGAAGAAAGCTGCGCGGACTTGGAAGTAGCAACTAGACCGATGTGGAGAGAAGTTTCAACAAAGTCTGCGCAAAAGCCAAGCAACCAAGCCATGGGTTGGACTCTCCACCCCTGTTGCGGGATGGTCAACAGTCAACAGGCAGTTCTGTTGAAGGAGTGAAAAAGAAGCTGCGAGGATGTCGTAGGCGGCAGAAGGATCTGGCTTGCCACAATCGGGCCCATCGCGGTTGGATTATGATGGAGGTTGACGGAGCATTACGGAGCAGGGTCTTCAATGATGGTTGCATCAATGGAGGCTGAGAACGGGCAAGTGCCACCCAGTTGGCAGGCGCCGCAGGACGCCGCTTCCTCTTCGGCTTCACGGAAGGAAATTGCAGTGCCCCGAGCCAACTGGGCCTGCAGAGCTCCTCCATCGCCAAACCTGGTCGTGATGAAATGGTGCCGGTGCCATTTAGCAATGCTGTAATACGCCAGGCTCTTTTGCCGTTGACTGCACCCTCGCGCGCTTTCACGCCACCTTGGACATGCTCCCTTGATGCCAGCCGGCGCCCCCGTCCTTTCACGGTCCATCCTCCCCTGCGGATGCCACCCGACAGGCTGCTCCCACCAGCTCCGGACGACGATTTGTGCTCAGGCCTGGGCTGCTGCAGGCAACAGGGCAGTCCCCTGGTCGAGAGTAACAGCGGACATGAGCTCAATCCACTCAAATTGGGGGCCCCCTGGAAGATAAACCATGGCCGAGCCAGGGTATGGAAGAGCAACTGCAGAGTGTCTTCCAACAGTGTTCCTCCATACTGGCGCCACGGGCTGTTGTCTTCTACCCAGCCTGCAGGAGCTCCAATTGTGTTCCTTTCCTTGATTACGAACACATGGAGAAGTCCTTTTTAGATTCATTGGGCTGCGGAACTGCCTTGCGCAAGTGACCAAACTTGGAACCCCTTTATCATGTTGGCCTGGCACACGGGGTCGCCCATCAAGAGTCTCCGGATATCTG